ACATCACTACAGGAAAAACCATAGCTTTGACTATTCAGACTTTTGTTGGCAAGGTGATATCTCTGCTTTTTAAGATGCTGTCAAGGTTTGCTTTCCTCCCAAGAAGCAGGCACCTTTTAATTTCGTGGCTGCTGTCTCAATCTGCAGTGATCATGGAGCCCATGAAAGTAAAATTTGTCACTGCCTCCATATCTTCCTCTTCTATTTCCCAGGAGGTGATGGGACCAGTGGCCATGATCTTAGTTTTTTTGATGTTGAGTTTCAGCCCATTTTTTGCACTCTCCTCTTTCACCCTCATTACGAGGTTCTTTAATTCCTCCTCACTTTTTGCCATCAGAGTGGTGTCATCTGCATATCGGAGGTTGTTGATATTTCTTCCGGCAATCTTAATTCCAGCTTGGGATTCCTCCAGTTCAGCCTTCCGCATGATGTATTCTGCATATAAGTTAAATAAGCAGGGTGACAATATACAGCCTTGTCGTACTCCTTTCCCAATTTTGAACCAATCAGTTCCATATCCAGTTCTAACTGTTGCTTCCTGTCCCACATATAGGTTTCTCAGGAGATAGATAAGGTGGTCAGGCACTCCCATTTCTTTGCCATAGTTTGCTGTGATCCACACAGTCAAAGGCTTTTGCAAAGTCAATGAAGCAGAATTAGATATTTTCCTGGAACTCGCTGGCTTTCTCCATAATGCAGCGCATGTTAGCAATTTGGTCTCTAGTTCCTCTGCCCCTTCGAAATCCAGCTTGTACTTCTGGGAGTTCTCAGTCCACATACTGCTGAAGCCTACCTTGTAGGATTTTGAGCATAACCTTGCTGGCGTGTGAAATGAGTGCAATTGTACGGTAGTTGGAGCATTCTTTGGCACTGCCCTTCTTTGGGATTGGGATGTAGACTGATCTCTTCCAATCCTCTGGCCACTGTTGAGTTTCCATGTTGACATAACAGAATGCTTCTCTTGTTCCTGGTTCTCTCTACTTTCATAACTCATTGAACCTCAACATTGTTGTGTTTTTGCTAAGCCCTGCGATCACCTGGAGTTTAACATTTCTAGGTTGACAATAGGTTATAACATACACAAAAAAGAATGTTTGGAACAACTGACATCAGTAAAGGAAAAGACTAGAAATGATCACAGCAGAAATGAAAGTCACAGATCAAAACCCTGGAAGAATAAAAAGGTCCTCACATCACATAAAAGATTTAAGACTACATGCCCATGGAGTCCTTTGGGGAGACAATTCCATAAGTGGGATTCCACCAAAAATAATTTTAAAAGGGCATCTCCCTGCTTATATCAACTTTGACTCAAAAGCCAGATACACTCCAATGAAGTCCCTAAAGATTAGCTGATGTCATTCTCTACCCATCATGCTTCAAAACTGATATAAGTGAGATAAGAGCCAACATCTCCAAACAACAAAAACAGTAGCTCTGATAGATTTTAATTCTCATTATCACTATCACTCTTAGATTCTGCTGCTTGTTTTGCTATTCTTCCCCCTTGATGCCTGCCCCAAGTATTTCCCCTGAACAAATTCAAATCATCTAAGATGTACAGTGACTGATTAAGCACTGCTGGAAGTACTAGCGATGGTTTATCATTCTCTCTGGTAACAACAACATCAGATAGTTGACTGTCTTATCAGCCTGGAAGCAAAATAAGGCAAACAAAACAAAATGAGACCAAAAAAAAAAGATTTCTACATTGGCAGGAAAATGTAGAAGCATAAAACACACATGATGACTGAGTATGCTTAGTGCTTTCGGGGGGCCATGGGTTGTTCTGTGAATGCTGAGAAAGAACATCAAAAAATGGGAGAGGGGAAAGAAGACTGAAATCTAGTACCCTGGAAAAATATATGACTAGACTGTTGGCTAAAACACTGAACGCTCTCAGTGTAACCACTTTGCTCTGTAGGATTCCCCAAAGCCTTTAAAAGTAATGTGGGAAACAATGTAGATGGAAAGGCTGAAGAGCTCTGGCAGGAAGGAGAGAGAACAAAGTCTAGGGAGGAAGAAAAAGAGTAGCATGGAGATTAATGAGAAGGAGCTTGAAAGAGTGCCATGTAGAGATGGGCATGAGCCCCCCACTTTGGTGGTTCGTGCTAGTTTGCCCTTTGGATTAATATGTGTTTGGTGCTTTCCAGCCCCACATCCTCTGGCAGGCACCCATTCAGAGGCAGCACCCAGAGGATGTGAGGCAAGGAAGCTGGGGAACTGACTCCGCATGTGCGCCTGCTGGAGGAAGCACAGCTAGGAAGCGCCAAACACTCGTTTGTCTGAAAGACGAACCAGCGGAACCGACAGTTGACACCCATCTCTAGTGCCAAGTGTGAAAGGGGAAGAATGAGCATTTGGACATATAAGAGGAGAAAAAGAGCACCCAGAGGGACAGCGAGATACAACGAACACTGGAGGAGGGAGGTGAGTGAAAGGAAAAGAAACATCAGCCAGGTGGTTGTGGCTGTGGGGGGGATAGATCACCATATGGGGCTGAAGCGTTCTAACCCAGGGGAAGCTGAATACTTCTAATGGATAAAAATATAACAGATAATGGATAAAAATAATAACATTTATTATATTAATAGCTTTTTTTCTGAAGCTTATAAAGTCCTACATTTTCCTTAATGAAGCAATTTTGACGTACCACAAAAAACAGCTTCACAAAACCACCACAACAATCACAATGGGAGGCAAATGCAAATAGTGAGCAGAAGAGTTTTGCCCTAAAATCACTTTAACGAATTATAAATTAAGTAGGACAAAGCAATATTCTATCAAATCAACTCACGTTTGTGGAAGTTCACAGCGGACTAGTATAGCTCGGGGTCATTATTCTGACTTTCCAGAGATATTAATTTCTACATCAAACACAGAATGTTCAAGCTTATTTGATAAAATGCAGGTGGTGTAAGATAAAAGTGTGCGGCCTCAGTACAAAGCTGGAAGTACCAATATTAATTCAGCATCAGAACAACTATCTTGGCAAGCTTGTGTTGCTGAAGGACCGGACATGTAACTTATTTGGCTGGTAATTAAAATGACAGTAATCGTCCAGAAACAATGAAGTCATATGTGACAAAACATAGGAGGTTTAGTTATTTAAGCTTCTTATTAAAGTCATAGCAACTTCAAAACAGCCAGTCTCATGACTGACTTTCAGGATGCCTGGTATTCCCCTAAAAATATACAAGGATGAAACAAATAATCTGTTTGTGAACAGTAACATTCCTAGTCATTCCATGAGGTCAAGTACACAGGGGCATTTAAATAGTTGCCCCACGTTTTGTACAGCATACAAACAGCTAGTCCTCTTGTATCTTATGCCATAATTGTCTCAGTAGATTTGCCATTTCAGCTAGAAAATAAGAAACATATCAAGCGGGTTAGGAGGGAAAAATAGGAAGTACAGGGCCTGGAAAATAAGAAGTGGATTTAAGGGGACAGAACATTTGGTCTGTGGGGAGGAGAAATAGTTGGGAGAGATGAATATATGTATATTCTATTCATTTCTTGGCTGCTATTTGAAACACACTTACCTTGGAGTGAGTCCCATTAAATTTAATGTAACTTACTATTCCATAGGCAAGAACAGAACTACACTGCAACTCTTTCAAAAATAATACATCAAAATTTTGTTATGTGCCAAACAGGGATACTGCTTTGGCTGCACCGTTAGATATTCACACAGAGAGACACGGGATGCAAGCTGATATTGAACTATGCAGGGTGTAAAAAAATCAATGTGTTTTTAAAAATCAAATGGATTTAAATCACAATTTAAATAAAAAAAAATTTTTAAAAAAATTTAAATTGTTAAAAAATCCAATTTAAATTTTTTTAAAATCAAATCCATCCTGGAACTATGCATATCACCTTAATGAATGAATAGTGAAAGGGGGAGGAGGGTTCAATAGCCTCAGGAATATTCTCATAAATTCTACTAATGTCTGTCAGAAGATGCCTATACAGAAGCTGCAACCTTTGTAAGACTACAGATAGAAAAAAATTTTAAATGTTCTGGCTAGCTCACAGCTTTACAATTTCTGCTTAGTAAGAAGGACAGTGAATACGAGTAAATGGCAGTAGCAGAGATGTAGTTTTAAAGGACAAAAGAGCCGTCTATTAACTGTGATCAGGCTTAGCGGCCCACAGAGCACATTTTTCTGTGCCAAAATTCTTCCTGTTTGTGAAGAACTAGCTCCTTAAAATGTAAAATGACTTGAATTTCAAAAATGAATAAACACTATTCCCAGTTTAAAAAAACAAAACCCACAACACCCCCAAGATTTTGCTATTTCTTTTCTTATTGGCCGAAACAAGATGTGTATGTATGTGGGCAGGACACTTTGTCTTAGAGGAAGACAGCATCCCAAGAGATATGATTCTCAAATTTTGGTGAAAGACAGCAACAACTGCTGAACACTTTTCTACTATTAGGGTTTATATGTGGTTTTAACTGCTGTTAGCCACCCGGAATTGTGCTTAGGAACTAGATGGGCAGGGCCATCATTTATTTTTAAAATAAATGAAAAACAAAAATCCAAATAAATAAATAAAATGATCCCCACCCTTGACAATAAAAAGGAAAAACAAAACATCATGGTGGTGGGAATTTTTTCATGCGATGTGATCCTCACCTGCAAAGCTACACAGACTCCCAGTATGCTTGAATAGCACTTCAGTTATCAATGAAATCTAGCAGCAATCCTATACAGTACTATATATAGTACAAACATGACAAAAGGGAGTACAAACAAGACAAAAGGAAGCAAGGAGGTAATCCATAAAAGGAATAAAAGAAAAATATCTAACAACTCCTTCAAATAAAACATGCAAAAATTGCTGCCTACTCAAAAAACGCATGATGATGAAAATACCTAATGACTCCTGAGAATGAACATTAGCTTATTTTACCTTAAACATTTGACAATTTCCAACTGTAACAGCCCTTGGAAACTAGCAATAGTATTTCCAGATCTTTTCACCCTCACCTGTAGAAGGGCTGTGAACAAATATACAACGATGAAGATTGGGGTCAAGGATGTGTGTCCACTCTTCATTAAATGAATGGTGTATAGGAAAATTAAATGCCCAGGAATCACCAAAAGAAGAAGAACTTGAGCTGACTTATTGTTTACTCCTGTAAATAATAACAAATAATTACATTATAATTACATAATAATAACAATAATTCACTTTTTATGAACAAGAGAGTAATGTTGATGCATTATTTCAATAATGATCTTAATAGTCTTAAGATTAGGGTGTAAAAATCCCAACCATACTGCAGTGATGCTTGAGACTGTAGTCTCAAAAGGAGTGAAATCACCTCTCGCAAACATGTACTGTCAATTTTTCAACTCTCATTGAGTTCAGCCTGATGAAGTGGGGTTACTCCACAAATGCTTACAATATGTTTGATTGTTAGTGGTCCAATAAAAGGTACCCCCCACTCTTACATTTGTGCAGGTTTGGGGACCACAAGGCCTTTTCCTTGTTCTTTTAGATTATCATTAGGTGAATGCATGCATTATCCTATCCTTTACAGTAAGCTCTGGAATAATTTGTAATTATTAATAATCAGCATCATTAACACATATAACATTGGCAACAATTTTTTTATATGTTAAAATATGTAGCCTTCCAAAACTGACTACCTCCACTAAATACCACAGTATTGCAGAGCATTCCAAAATGCTAATGTTCAGGCTTGTTACTTTCAGTAACATTTCAGAGTGTTGCTGACCTAATAATGCCTTTGCACACTATGTTTTGATCTAATTTGTCACAATGATGTTATCAGTAAATAGAAAGAACACAAGAAGACAGAAGGAGGGGGTCCTGGCTCCCTAAGGGCTCATCCATTCCCCCGAATGTACATAATCCTGCCTTGATGATGTCAGTATTTTCCCCACCATCCAAACGACACAAGGTTTCATTCAATACCAATAATGAAAAAGAATGATAAAATTCTTGGCTTTCTATATTTAAAAAAACAAACAAATTCCAGGACATTGTTGTTTTGTTTTGTACTGAGAGTGGAGTTTTAGTGGTAAGAGCTTCCCATGTCACAAGCTTTCAGTTTAGCAACAATCCACTAAAACAGCAACAACAGCAAAACCAAAACTCAGCAGTGTATAAGACGCCCCACCCCCACTGTTCTAACCCTAAATTAAGAAATCTTAACTTAGCTTATGAGTATTCTCTGGGCTCAGAATGCATACCTGTTGCATCTGAGCACTGCCTACATGCTCCACCTCCAATGAGGTGTGTTCTAATTGGTTTGTTCAGCATCAGCTGACGTCAGTTACCTAAGGCTCGTGATTGGAGGAAGCTAAATCTCCTGACTGTAGGAAGCTAAGCCCTGTGACTGAAGGAAGCCTGTTTGCAGAGGCAAGGTATGGGCTGTTTTGTTCTCTCCTCAGCTTACTTCCATGTATAAGACAACCCTCAATTTTTAATCTAAGATTTTAGACAAAATTAGCATCCTATACATGGAAAAATATGGTATGTCTAGAAGCTTTGATCAATATTTTTGTTGGAGATGTTGTGAAGCACAACTGATTTCTGAAGTGGAATGGCAGCAGAGTATGCCTCCATTGCAAAAGGGTCAGATCAGAAGCTTACATTAGCACAGCATTTTTTAAATTGTCTTCTGTTGTCAACACAAGACTATTTTAAAAAATATGCGTTCAAGCTTTTGAAATATTTTTTTAATCATTTATTTAAAATACACTGATTTCTTAAAGAGAAGAGGCAGTTAGGAATAAGTGTGGGCAGAATGCTTAGTAAGATATGTTGACAAAATTAAAGAGGGAAAAAAGGCAATTATTGTGATGCTGAAAAGCTAAGAGATTATTCCAATGTGAGCTTCAACTTCTTCAGAACTAAGAAAAATAATCCCTAAGAAAATAAAGTCTGAAAATATTCCAGTGAATTTAATGTAAATATTCTATATAAAATAGAGAAAATATCAAACTTCTAGTATTTCTGTATCTAGCAGCCTACCAATTATGTGATTGCATTATTTTTCTGATCTATTATCTCATTCACTCCAAGTATTACTAGAGAATACAGTGGTGCCCCATAAGACGAATATAATTTATTCCGCGAGAATTGCTGTCTTACAAAAAAAATTGTCTTATGAGGTTCCCTATGGGAACCTCGCAAGATGAATGAAATTTATTCATCTTGCGAGGCATCGGTCTCGGGGGGGAAAAAAACGTCTTGCAAAGCATAGCCATAGAAGAAACCGTCTTGCTAAGCACCATAGCAATCACAAAAAACAACAGTCTTGCGGGTTATTCGTCCTGTGAGGCAATCGTCTTGCGAGGCACCACTGTAATGCTTTTCGTTTTTTTAAAAATCCAGAAACAGGCAAGGAAATATGGAGTAACCTTTGTTAAGGGCAATGTATCTGCCTATTGGTTAGCAGCTGATTCTAATAAAGTAGAGCCCTATGTAGCTTATGAAAACCTGAAAAGCTTGATTAAATCTGCATACCAATATTAGATAATAATTTGCATTTAAAGTTATAAAGATATTTACTGATTATATGAAACAAAAACTACTGATCATATTTAACACATACCTGTACCACAATATGTTCTGCATGGGTAGAGGCAGCCCTTGGCTTCTTCTGGTAATTCACCAGGAACATTGTGTAAATGCAAATATGTAGAAATCCTGCTTGCCTGAATTGCCACTAGATTGCCACCAATACCTAAATAATATAGTAGAAAATGTCACTGTTTATTAATAATTGGGCATAATGGCCAATACATTTATATCAGCAACTGCAAGCCTACCTATCATTTCACGCCTATCACACCGAGGGGAAAAAATTCCTCCATCCATAGTTCATCTTCTCATTTTCTGATTGCTAGTCAATGTGTTGCTACTACTGCTAATATAGTAGGACCCCTGTATCCACAAGATATTGATTCCAAGTCCCCTCCTGTGGATGCTGAAAACCGTAGGTAATAGCAAACACTATATATAGCATGGTAAAAGAAAAAAAATCCAGAAATATGTATTTTTGCCATATTTTACCAGAGGTGGTCATTAGAGAGAACCAGAGCCCATGCTATGTATTCTTCAACAAGAATGCACAGAATGGTTTCTCACTCCCACTAGTGGCCAGTTCTGGTAAATACATTGTGGAAATATGTACTTCTAGTTTTTTCTTTTAGTATTTTCAAACCATGAATACTGATACTGAAAATATGGGAGTCTTACTGTATATTTCTTTACTACCAACAATATGGTAGAGAGTAGGAAGAGTTGGACTTCATGGAAGGAAGATGAATGCAATGCCACCTGAGCCAACGAGAACTCTAATTAGGTTTATAAATCAGTAACTGCTCTAATAGATGCAAAACTAAGATATCTCGAAATCAACCATGAAGACTGCTCACTAGTTTTCAGCATTTTTCTCCCCCTCTACCCAACCTGTCTCACATAATATCAAGGTATCATGGTACCTGTCTCACATGGTATCAAGGTTCAAACAATACCTTAAGCCAGCGCTAGGAAAGAGGGAACCCTCTAAATAGTTCTGGACTGTAAACATCCCATCAGTCCTAGCCGTCATAGTCAATGATCAGAGATTATAGAAGCTGTAGCCCAACAATGTGTGGAAGGCCAAACATTCTCCACCACTGCACTCTTTTAAAAAAAACAAAAAACAAAACACCTGCTAACTGGAATTTGTACTTCCTTTGTAGCAATAGAAAAGCAAAATGTCTGCCTCCAGTTTAACTTCCAGCTCAGCTGTCTTGTCCCTCAGCAACCGTTTATTCCAAACCGTAGGTGTTGCCACCCCACAACAATGCACTGCTACATCCAGCATCTCATGGCTAATGTGCGAGAGATGAGACAAGAATGCTTGTTTTGGCTTTTTTTCAGAATGGGTCCAGGCTTCCTGAAGCTCAATCTACGGTATATTGTATGGACCTTTAGGAGTTAGCCCTTCGACATTGATTTGTTGAGCCGATGGCATGGCTCAGATCACTCAGTCCCTCAGGATGGAAACAAAGCAGCTTGCAATCCAGTTTCTGACGTGAAACAAGATTGTCAGTTTGGTTGAGATTAATCCTCATCCAACAACGATGCAACATTTTCGTTGCCCAGTTTTGTTTAGTTGCAGAATTCACACAGGACTAGATGTAGGCTTCTATAGCATTTCCAACTGGAGAGTTGTAAAAAAAAATATGTCCCCACATTTCAACCATTTTCTTCCTACAGGCTTTTAAAAAGTTACTGCTAATCTTCAGAACTTTAAAGTACTCCTGGGGCCAGGCAATACAAACTGCAGCAGCGGTTTTCACACTCATGGTGGACGAGGGTGAAAGCCTTGCAAAGCGGATGCATGAAGTCCTGAGAGACAAAGAAGTCGGGAAATAGGAAGCCATGAACTATGGGAGCTGGAAATAGGAACCGCAACCAACAAAGCATGGAGAAGCATGGACCCGAGCAAAAGCTAAAGCAATGGTTCCCAACCTTGGGCCTCCAGATGTTCTTGGACTACAACTCCCAGAAATTCTGGCCAGCACAGCTAGTATTGAAGGCTTCTAGGAGTTTTAGTCCAAAAACATCTGGGGACCCAAGGTTAGGAAGAAGGAGGAGGCTTTAAAAAAATAGCAGAAAGAGAAATGGGCCTTGGAGAGGATACTGAGAGAAGATAAGCTGAAGAAATCCCACAGTGGTTAAGAAAAGGAGAAACAGTATTCTGTGGGAAAGGAAAGTAGAAATGCTAAAAGATACTGCTGGTAGTGAGTTGAAAAGAATGCACTTGAGAAACATTGGGACCCAAGTAGAAAGCAGAATTGGGACAATTAAGGTAAACAGAAGCAGTAAAAGTGTGCATTATTAGCTTCAGATAGGCAGACAGGAAAAAGAGTCTAGACCAAGATTTGGGAACATTCCTTGTTTAGAATGGAATTTCCAGAATACCTCAGCCAGCATGGCCAATGACTCTGATGATGATGATGATAATGATAATGATAATGATAATAATAATAATAA